GTGTACTTGTTGCCCCGAGACACCAATGAGAAGATGCATTCAAATACTCCATGTCTGTTGAATATCCACACCTGTTGTGAAGCCATCTCCATCGCGTTGAGACGAAGATGTTGTCCAGTCTGAACCTGAATTTGGGTTGTTTTCAGACCATGGAGGCTGCACATTTCCACGTACTGCATGAAGCTGTCAGCGGATGGCTCTCTTTTTGCACGTTGGACATGCAGTCCAGCCTTACATAACCACGTGAACCACGGGCTCTTCTTGAGCCAGATGATCTTTTTGCGGGAAACCAGAAGAGAACACAAGCAGGGAGAACGCAGTTGAATGTCGGGGGTAGCCAGTGATGTCCTTTCTCGAACCTTGTTGCGCTGTGGTTGGGGGAAGAAACAGCATGAACAGTGTTCACGCCCCATGATTTGTTGAATTCCTTTCGTGAAAGCAGTACCATTTAAACGTGCCATGTTGTAGTTCAGAATCGCCGGTTGTACGTGTGGTTTTCACAAACTTGGATACCCTAAGCCTTATGCAACATGTTTTGTTTTTGTGTAGAACGACATTTTTGTAGCTTAAATGAATATGTATCACATTGGCAGAAGGCATCTTCGTTTGTGCAAGAATCATGCGCAATTCAGAACGTATGCATAGAGACCATGGCAACGCGCTGCGTTTAGACATATGCTGTTGTATTGTTGAGAATATTCTTTGGGTGTCTCATGCCTTTGATTTGCGCTCGGGATTCATTTTTGTGGGCACAGGTCTTTGAGTCCTCTATTTCTGCCGGACAAATGTAAAAAAAGATACGTTCGAAGTTGCCAGCGCTTCAATAGGAGCTGCGCCAAGATATGGCCAGGCTGCTGACAGAGGCACTCAGAGGCGTCTTTGTTCCGATTTCCGAAGACGCAAGAGTCGTTGCCAGGAATCCAGTGCGTCCCAAGAGGCCTTGGCTCATTGACTGTGTACGATTAATCTCACTCAGACCAATGGGAGGTGGCAGGGCCTCATGAAGAGCTGAAATGTGGAGAAGTGATTGAACCAGGCTGACATTCTTGTTTTCTTTCGTTCGGAGAGGAACCTAAGATTTGCCGATTTGTTGTGACGTCTTGTTTGTTGACTTTCTTAGGCCCTGTGAGTCTGGTGTGCTCAGAGCCTGTCAAGGTCCGTTCCAGAAAGTGATATTCAAACGACATTTTTCCTTTGGATGTGATGAAACATATGGATAACTCACGAAGGTACGCAGTAAATCTCAGTGTAAGAACAATAAGAATGCACTCTTTCTAGCCCATCGCTATTGGGTAGGAGGCCATCGCTAGTAGGTACCATCGCCATTAAGAATGCGCTCTTTCTAGTGACAGCCTTTCCAATGAAAGTCGTGCAGCACAGTTCACCTGCGTCGAGTCGTCGAGGTTTGCGCTGCCAGCGTTTCTGGTTGTGCACCTGCTATGTCCGCGTGGCCAAGAATGGAGAATGACAGCCAGTCTAAGCAGCATGGGCCAAGTTGGCTAGGGGCAGAAAGTGAAGCTCATGCGGAAGGATGGCTGAACTGTCAAGAAAGTCAAGCCAATGAGCTTGCGGAACTTGAAGGCTGGGTGGAATCTTTGGTCGAAAGGGACCCTGCTGAAAACCTGCCGCCGCTTGGATCTGCAACCCACTCCTCCAATGAAGCAGCACCTGGGAGCGGCTCCGCTTGGCCGGAACACATCCAGGCCAGGTAGGGCGAGTCTAGTGAATCTCTAGCATGGCAGCTCAGTCATGCTCGGCTTAATTGGGCAAACATTTAATCCCATATCCAACAGCCAGGCCTCAGTCCTTCGATGCTCAGGCCTCCAGTGCAGAGTTTCCTGAGCTGGTTGAGCCAGAGGCATTGCAGAAAGCTTCTTCGGCTCGACTGTGGCCACAGCATTTTTTATATGGTTTATTTCAAGACTTTTCTCGAAGGGTCTACATGCTCATGAAAAGAATGTGCTTAGTTGTACAAACGCAAATCACTGGAAACAGGGAGGGGAATTCCCATAGTTGAAGGTCCAGAGTTCCAGCTCTGACCCGAGTGAAGGTCTGAAAGAGGCGAGCCCGAGAGATCTTGAGAGCATCTCATGTTTTTGAATTCAAGAAATGAAGAGTTTCTTCGAATGAAGAGTTTCTTGCCAGAATTTTTTACCGTTTTGTGTCGAAGAGAGGGTATGTGGCCGAACACAAGCAGCTCCTGCGAAGAAATCAGGTCACTTAAGATTGCAGCTGCCAGGAGTCTAAGGCGGAGATGCCCAGCTACAACCTGCAGGATTCAGGCGCTGCCTTGCGCTGCCTTGCTTTTTTCAACTGGATTCACATCGGTCAGACAGGTTCCATTTCTCAAACGAACAGGCATAGTTCCTCATCGTCGGAGATCCTTCCAACCTTTGACCTTGGTAGACTCTGAGGGTGAGTACGATGATGACGAGCCACTTGCATCATCTTGACAAATTGCATTGTGACTCGTGACTGTAATACTGTTTCCAGTAGCAGCTATTATATAGGTTGGAGGCCATCGCTTTTAGTTGCCTCTTAAGAATGTACGCCTTTCTTTCGCAACCTCTAAGGTTCGAGGATGAGGAGTTGCCAGAGGTCCAAAGCAGGCCAATCGCTTCTCTTTGCGAGCATCGAAACACTGTGCAGAAAACCTACCATATGTCTCAAATTCTTGCCATGAAACGATGGTCAGTTGGATTCTGTGCTACCGAAAACAACGGAAGCTGCAACCGGTTCTTTCTCGAGCCAAACCAACACGCCCATGTTTGAGGGCAGAGATCATGCCTTCCTTCAGGCTGCAAACTCAAAACAAAACGTGAGCGAGAAATGCCTTCCACACATACTTACAGTAATTCAATTTTGGCTTCAATGAAAGTCGGTTCAATAGCAGGCCCGGCAGCAAGAGAAACAGTATGCAGAGACAGGCCGAACAGCTGGGCAAGTCCAAGATGGGAATGCGTGTGCATTTTTTGGAACATGGTAATGTTCGCGAGATTGAGATGACCCTATTTCATGCTTGGTCGAATTTTCATTGTTGTCCTTCGTCGGAAGGCTTTTGCAAGGATCACTCTTTTTTGGCAGGGCTATATAATCTTGTGCTCCTATTTTTGTTCGAGAGGACTTGGTCAATGTGGTGATAACAAAGCTTGGCACGTGCCTGTGCAGGACGACGAGGAGCAGTGAGTAGCAAGCAGAAATAGTTGGCGTAAGTGGGCAGCTTGATGACACATCGAATGTTTCGACGGCGGCATCAGACTGAAGTAACTGAAGTATCAAGAATGAAACAACAGTTTAGCACTTGAAAACCCTCAACACCTCTTGAGTTGTTCACGGCCTTTCTTCCGGCCACAGTAAATTGCGCCTGAATTTCTTAGTAACAGGCTGAACAACCTATTTTTGCTGAAACCTTGCCAGGTTTGTTTTCATTGTGTAGTTCAATTTCAAATACATGTATATATATATATATTTGTTGCTTTGGTTTACATGGCATGCAACCATCATGTTTCTTCTTGCAACTCATGTGCGGCGAACTGCAATTGCATTTGGAAGAGTGGTGGCAGGGAATGGCCAAAGAGCGCCATTCTCATGCTGGCCATGAGCTCAACACGCAATGCGAGGCAAAAACAAAGTGAGGGCGACTTGATGAAAGACAAAGACAACGTTTCTGAAAACTGATGAAGACAAAATGCGCGGCTGATGCCACGAAGGAAAAGCACTTCTGTTCCAAAAAAATGCTTGCAGTCAAAAGGAATCTTTCTCACCCAGCTTCTCCCGAAACCAACTTCATACGCATGATAATATGGTTTTTACCCGGGATTTTCTGTGCTTGGTAGAATCACCAGCCAGCCCCTATCGCCCTATCAAAGCATTTGGCGGAATCACCCAGCTAGCCAATCACCAAAGTACCCAGCGTTATCAGCCAGCCAGCCACTCAAAGTACCGCAAGTCACACATTTTGATTTCGTTATGGATTTTAACAATACAGAAGATCCAGCATGTTTAATTTAGTTGTCGCTGTCAAAGAGTTTCATGTCTCGAATCACTAGAACTGGTGCAAGGACATGCGTGAGGCTGCTGTGCCGCGTTTGAAGGATGCTCTTCCTGCCCATGCTCTTTGGTCAAGATTCCAATTGATGCGATGGGATGGGTTTCTCCTTTATTAACGGCCATAGGGAGAGCCTGCAAGATTAGTACGAGACACTTGACATATTTTGACATTTGTGTTTCCATCAATGGTTCCTTGTGTGGCACTCCAACTAGATGCTTGAATCCTTGTCTAATGTCCTCCATGGGTTTCTCCTTTGATTAGTATCTTGGTTCAGGGATTTTGCATCGGGTTTCTTCGAGCACAATATCAGCGTGATTTGATAAGTGAACGCCTGAAATCTTGTGACATTTCCTCCAACTTTGTGTTGTTTTGACGGATGGACAGGCCTGAGGCATCTGCAGTGGGTTTGTTGAGTCCTCTCCTTTTGTTGTGCACTATCGAAATTTCACATCCCCAATTTTTTCATATTCCAGGTTCCAATGATGAAGCCTCTGCTAAGAAGAACTGTAACTCTTCGAGGTCTGCGTTTGGAGTCCGCTCATTACTTGCCCGGAAGGCCTGAAAATGGACGAAAAAAGCTTTCAATTTTGACAGCTTTCAAAGCTTCCAGAAATGTGTTCAACTTGCTCACGGGCTTTGCTGGAACATCTTTTTCCAGTGAGATGTTCGAAGACATTAGAGCTCTTCTGCCGAAGCCAGCTGTGCAGCACCCTTGTATTAAGACAGTAAGCCAAAACAGAATAAAGAGCGATGCAAGTAACTCATTGTGGGCTTTGACGGTGTCCCCTATTGCACATATATGCACGAGACACAACATACTTCTTAATGACTGTTTCTCCCATATTGTTTGCTCTCAGCTCTAGATGGGCTTGAAGCAAGAAGTGCAAGATGCTTGCGGTTTCAAGAACCAAGAGCAAAGATGCTTACTGGAACCTCAGCCATCGTAGGTGTAGGAACATCCTAGATTGACTGATCTTACAGCACGTTTGTTGCTACGATGGCAGATGCTGTCCTTCAGTGCCTTGGCTGCTTGATGAAGTTAAGTTACTTAATTAGAACCGCGCACAAATACTCCTCAGGGGAATCGTTTAAACGCACAGGAGCGGCAGTTCCATGTTTTCGACTTTGATTCAACCCTCAACGGTTAGGCTACACGAAGGCGTCTAAACAATTTCAGCAATCCGTTGTGCATTCAGACCGGCCTCTCCTTTACAATTTGGCATCCTATTTAGCTACATGTTAACCCCCAAAGAAGGGGGGGCCCTGTTCTCTCGCCTATTGGCGGCGATGCTTTGGTGGTCTTGCAACTTTCGATTTCAATGTTCTCCGCCTAGTTCCTTACAGGCCACGCATTTTAACAGCATTGATAGGCCACTTGATTGTGTCATGGTTGAAGGTCGGTGGAAAGACCAGAAAACACCCTGACAATATCTCGATGATGCTCGAGCATAGCTCATTTCCTTGCTTCTTTCTACCGCTGCTCGTTCCTTGTTGCCCCGCTTCTGGCGTTCATTTTTGTATATTTTTGTGCTTTGCTACTTCGCTTCGCAAATGACAAGGCGTCCTGGGGAGGGAGTTCTGTTGTGCTTTCTTTTTCCCTTGGGCCTTGGGCCCCTCTTTTTGTTGCGCGGTTGTTGGTGCTTGTTTGTTCGTTGTTTTCTCCTTTCTCATTGGCTCTTCGGACTTCTCATATGTTCTTTATACGCTCCACTGACGAGTGTGTATGCGCTCGTTTCAATTCCGATATTTACTGTAACGAATTTGCACGTACTGCACCAGAACCTTTACCCTTGCTGGTTGTGCAACCAAAAAGGCGACCTCTTGAGCATTTAATAAAAACTTGATATATATATATATATATATGATATGTGTGTAAATCTATCCAAACCAGCCAACCATCCAGCCACCAACTGAACAAACTATTGGGCCGCCTGAGCTCCAAGATCAGGGAAACAAGAATTTGAGCATGCAAGCGCACAAGCGAGCCGACTAAGGCATTTAGGCAACGATGTCATCGGAATGGACCAGGAATCCAGAGAACGGTTCTGACCGAACACATTCCAAATGCATCCTCCTTTGTTTTCTTTTGTCCACAATATTTATAGGAGACAAAGACTCCAAGGGCCCTTCATATGCTTTCCTCAGATTCATCGAGCATCTTATGTTTGATTGTTTGCCTATTGTTTTCCATGTATTTTTGTTTGGGCGAACTTCACTTGGCTTCTTGCTTACTTTTTCCTGAGAGACAGCTAAAGGCAGTAGCATCCTGTAGCTAGTAGCTTACTCCTCCCTTACTCAATGAAGTAGGCGCCTACTGGATTAAGTAGGGAGGGGGGGGAAGCGGGCTTGAGCGAGCGGGTGCGCATCAAGGCGACGATAGTTGACAGGATCGAACCACTCTGACACGACTCCAAGGTCAGCTCGGTCAGCACTCAAAGAGGAGCGCTTCTTTGACGGCGTGCAGCTGATCAACAGCGCCCTGGAGGTTGAGAGCGACTAAGTGATCCAACAAGGAAAACCAATTCCACGGATTTGTTATGTTCCTCTGAGATCCTTTGAGAATGCTTTACATTCCAAAAAATGACACATGCTCAGATGTGGTAAGATGCTCGCGGTTTCAGCTGGTTGTTTGGCTTGTGAGTCCCAGCTCACCGAAGACCGTGGCAGGCACAGCAGGCTATCGTGATCAAGCCCGGCTCAGGTGGCTATGCATCTTGGCTGACCACTCCTCAACACTTTCACATGGGTGGCCGTGGGGGCACGGTCAGCATCCACAAAGATCACCAGTAGCTTTGGATTTGGACGCTATATATGTTCAGTTTAAAAACGCAAACGCAACAGGCATTATTAAAAAGTCCGATTTTGCAGAAGTACAATGGACTCCACCAACAACACGGATTTGGATCCTAACTGCGAGAGTCAAGTCTTGTACCGCAGAGGCAACACGATGGTCGACTCCAACTTTTCATTGCAGGAACTCGACAAAGCACTCAATCGCTAATAGTAACAAGGACATCGCTACTAGTAACAAGGGCATCGCTACTAGTAGCTAGAAGCTACTAGTAGCCATGCCCTTGTTACTAGTAGTGATTCACAAATAAACAACAAAGCCTGCAGGGCCCGACAATTGCCCAGCAGAGCTCATCAAATGGTTAGACCAGGACAATCCAGCCAAGCTCCTTGACACACACAACGTATTCTTAGCAACGATGTATCTCCTGAAAGCCTGAAATTGGACAACATAAAAATATATATATATATAGTTACCGACAAATATTTGGACCCCAAGTATTTTGTGGCAAAAATGACAAATCATTGCTTAGAACCTTTGAACAAATAGACACACAGAACAGGTGATGAATAGACACATAGAACCTTTTGGACATCGCACACTTAGAACCTGCTGTTAAAACAGGTTGATAGATGTTTATATTTTCTTACTTTTATTCTTTTTTACAGTAAACTTACTGTGGCCTTCAATATGAAAACACAAGGTTAATGAACTGAATTTGAAGCCCAATGATGCTTTCAATTCTGAGCAAGCCCAAGAAAGCTTGCCTTGTAGATAAGTTGACATCATACCAGCTATGACATAGCTAAAGTCTGAACCTTTGTGCAGCATCCCACTTACAACCTCCATCAAGATGAACGCAAAAGATCATGCTAGCAATAATTATGCAACGATAGGAAGTTTGCTAGGTAGATATGTTGGCATCACAGCTATGACATAGCAGCTAAAGGCTGGCCAAATGTTTAGGCTTGGCCACACGACCTGGCAATCATCATGCGCACTGCCTAGCCGGAAGTAGTTTGAGCAACACGAAGTACACGCTAGCAAGATTCTTGTTTTTTGGGTTCTAAGTTCAAAGTGTACACTTAGAATGTTTGCAGCAGTGAACATAGAATCCATGTTTTTCCAAAATAGGTTCTAAGTCCTAAGTATTTGTCCTTGGTTATAGTGTCGATTGAAAAAAGGTGATCGCATTGCTCCGAGTCCTGTACAAATTATTTGCTGCACTGACTACAAAGCGTTTATTGCAAATTTTTGATCCTTGGGTACAAGCCAGTCAATTCGGCTTCAGACCAAAGAAATCGGCTTCACTTCCCTTCGCAAGCCAGTTTCATTCTTTTTGAAACATACATCACATAGACTCATGAACATTTCAGAACGAATGGGAACCAACAAAAACTACTCCAGGTATTGAGAAGGCTTCAAGTTCCACCACGCATGCTAAAAGCCATCTCACACATTTTTGAAAGACCACAGTTTCGTGTATCCGCTGGACACACGGATCTGACTACCTAGTTCAACGTTCCGGAATATGACAGGGATGCCCTATTTATTTGAGACACATCTCAACACGGCAAAACAACAAGAACCAATTCCAGGCATCCAATATTTTGCAATACTCTACGCCCATGACACGCGGATTTTTAGCAACTGCACTTACACTCACCATATCTAACTTGCTACTAAAGGAATAACTTCAACATAATATGGAACTTAATCTGCATATATGCGTTAACCTTACTTTGAACCAAAAACAATCTTCCATCAAATTCGCAGATGGATCCCTTGTACCGCGCAAACATACAGCCACATACCTCGGTATCCTCTTCATAGATACTGTTGGTAACAAAAAAGAAGTCATGAACCGCATCGTAAATTCAGTCCGCACCTGCAACCGACTCCCATTTTTTGGACCAAAGTGCGAAACTCCATTTCATCAACAATTGAAGTTTTTCACTCAATCCATCGGAGTAAGGTTTTATATGGGTTAGAAACCATCCTGCTTTAATTGTTTGCCAGAACTTCAGCGATAATACGCATTCCAGATCAAAGGATCTACATATACCACCCACAAGTGTCGACAGGACAATGACCAAGTAACAAAGGGCATCGCTACTAGTAGCAAGGACGCTACTAGTAGGTCATGGTTGAAACTCAAGATTCAGCTCTTATGACATCATCCGAACAGACCCACAGGATGCGATGCGCCAGGTCCTTTTCCTTACTAACTCACTCATACCTAGAACTGAGGCAAGACGAGTAGGCAAACTCAGAGCCAACTGGCTAATCAAAACATATGCTGATGCTTACAGAGAATGTGGTCGAGTAGGTCAGTCTGACATCAACAGCAACCATCAAAGAAATCTAGTCAACAACTTGGCCCAACAAGGGCACGTCATTTTTTGACCACTTGTCATCCACCTCGTCACCGAAATCTTGATCACCGAAAGTCTCGTCACCAAGAGCTTTTTGACCGAAAGTGGGCATATTCCCGGCCCGGCCTTCATCAAACTGCTAGCTTTCCTCACCCTGTTACTTCTTTCTGTGTTCCTCTTCCTCCGCCCTTCTGATTTTCTATTTGATTGTCCCGCCTCCTGATAATTCAGATGGAAAACAATGGTGCTGCAAGGCTCGTAAGACTCGTAAGTCTCAACTCACTCTGCAAAGCAGATAGCTAACCACTGGATTCTGCACTCGGCTTCGGCTTGTACGATGCAAAAATGCGTTCAGTCTTACTGTTGGGATCATGTCATGTGTGCTGTGTGTTGTATGTTTGGCACTCGTTGCTCAGGCGGCGGAGGCTGCCACAGAAGTCGACAACCAGGAGATTCTGCAAAATCCAGAGTCTTGGCACACGATATTCCTACTACAGCATTTAGTCACCTCCATAAGGCATATCACGAAAGGTAGCCTGCTAAGGCCTAGCTTGAGTTTGCTTTGCGAAGAAAAGGGGTTAGTCGGGACCGCATATTGATATATCAATTCTATTGACCCCCCCTCCAATGTGATGAATAATTGATTCATCAATTTCTTTTGCTGACACACCTACCTTAGTCTCACGTCCATTCGCTGGCAGCAACAACAGTGTCTACAATGAGGTTGCGCAACACGGCTTCGACGTAGTGCGAACAGCTCTTACACACGCCAGCGTTTACACGCCGCAACTTCTACGCAAGCCAGCATTCATGCACCATATCGCGCTCTCTCTATATACACAAACTAGCATTGACGCAACACGGCCTCGACAAGCCGTGTTAACAAACCTCACCACACTACAGGGCGCGCGCGCGTGACATACGACTGCACTTGCGCAGCACAATTTGGCAGCAGGCAATTCTTATACACCACGGCTCTCACATACACCAGTGTTGACAAGCCTCCACGTGCGCCACACCACACTACATGTTGTAGCAACCGCTACGACAAAAGGCCTTCTTTCACACACCGCACTTCATACATCTCTGATATATTCCTGGTACCTCTCTACCTTTTGTGTTTCCTTGTCTCAAGTTGTACTTCAAGCTGTTTTTCGTTTGTGCCAACGAGCTAATCATGACCTGAAACTTGACCACTCAGCAGCCTTAGCACATGCCAAGGAAGCGTTCCTGATGCGTGTGCTTTCCTTGGCCGGCATGTGCGAGATTTTGGCCGAAACAAAAAGAGATCTCAAGATCCTTTTAAGCCACATGAGCGACAATGTAAGTACTTGTTACAGCATAAAAGGGCTTTCGACCTTCACCTTCAATCACTATGAGCTTGGCCTGTCGATGTTACCAAGAGCCAGGGAAGGGCTGCTTCGGAGTATGACAGCTGACCCTGTAAGTTTGGAGACCACAAGCACCCCAAAACTCACTGACGATTTCCTTGTAGGGGTCAGGTCTTCATTTTTGAACCGTATCCGTGTTGCTAAATGGACGTATGGTTCAAGGTCATCGAAGGTGCAGGAGAAGCTTTGAGTGAGACATCCGGAGAAGCGAGCATCCAGCCATTTCCACAATCGATTCTCTTTCTGTCAGGAAAGCTGGCGATGCTACCCAAAGGTTAAAATTTCCACAAGATTTGGGAACCAAATCAATCACATGAAGGGTTCTGCAAAAAAGCACCTCCCCCGCCCACATGTAAGCAAATCGTAAGTGGATGCACTGTGTCATTGTGCGACACAACATGGATCAATTTGTTTGCTTCGTTTGGGAATATCCGCTTGTCTTCCCTCCTTGTGGCATTTTCTTGTTCAAAAACAACAATTTTTGGGTAAGTTGAACGGAAGTCAAAGTGCACCACCCAACCTTGAAAACTGGCCCCGCACAGAAGCTCAGAGAACGCTCGATTGAGCGATAGTGCCCTCTCCTTTTTGCAGTGAAATCTTGACACATTTTTCTCCTTCTTGCTTTTTACTTCTAAGATTCTTCAATTTCAGGTGCTGCCTTCCCTCCAATCATCACAGCGTCAGCTTTTAGCAGACCTTTTTGCTTTGCGCACAGAGCCTTGGCGCATTGGAATTTGTGCCCAGATATTTTTGGTATGGCAGTTTGCTGAAAACGCCGTTGGATGACCTTATTGGTTCAGGACTTGCTGATTGGCCTGGGTGCATTGAAGCGGGCTGTTCTCGATATCAGCGCGGCCTTGCAACTTCGACTGGCAAGATATATTTATAATTGAAGGCACTGTAAACCGTGCAGTTGATGAATCATCGGTATATTTATATATTTCTATTTCCAGGTATACCTCTATTGAGGTCTCTTTATATTTAGGCTCGGGAAGAACTTGACAATGGTAGCACAGTGTCCTTTAATTTAACTCTAGATAATGAGCAGTCTATGACCACAAATGAGAATGGCTGCTCAGAGGGTAGCACATTGGACCGAAGCCAAGGCTACTGACACCCGAAAACGAAGCAATGTCAATCAAGAAGATGCAGATCGAAGGCGTCCCATTTCTGCCTTCGATTGTCGTGCAGCACTTTCACCAGGGTCACAGACGAGATATTCCTTTGCACCTACGCGCATCACAAATCTGACTAGACATGAGTAACTGTCCGATGGCTCCTTTTTGTGAGGGTGTGGAGTGTCTTCAGGCCTGCTGAAGTCGGGTGCCTCCAGTGTGGGCTCTGCAAAGTTTGCATCTTAGCCGTGCCATTTGGTCAGAATGCCTGGGAAGTCATTGAAGAAGATGTAATTTAATGTTCTTGCCTGTTTCCCGTGAGGACTCCCACTACGATTATCACGGGCTTCTTGGGTGCCGGCAAGTTCAGGGCTTGGCCAGCTCAGCGTAATTCGGCCTATTGCACACTGATATGTAGAACAAAGCTGCACACATACTGTACTTCCGCAACTTCAGGGCAGAGGCTTCTCAGGGTTGCGTGACCTAAGGACCACCCTGCTGAACTACATTCTGGATGTCAATCATGGCAAAAAGATAGCCATCATCGAAAATGAATTTGGTGAGGTGCCCTTTACAATGTGTCTTCTAGTTGATGCCTTGTCATAAAAGCCAGCACAAGTGGTAGAGTTGTTGATATTGTTTCTTTGCAAGCTTTTCTGGTGTATGTCCGCCCACGTCATTGTGCCAGGTTGGGATAGATGATGCCCTTCTAAACACAAAAAGTGCTGTAACCGAGGCCAAGCTGGCTACGGCTGAGTTTTGGTTTTGATGGTGTTGGTTTGGAAAGTTGCCCTGAAAGCAGAGCATCTTTTCAACCAGCGGAGGGAGTGCCCGCGGCTGCCCAGTTGCAGGAGAACATCATCGAGATGAACAATGGATGCATTTGCTGCACAGTTCGGGGTGATCTCATTGCTGGGTTGAAAAAGCTCCACAAGCAAACCACTGGGAAGGCTGGGCAAATGGTCGAGTCAATTCACAACCGATTTATGTAAAGCGACGACAAATGCTTGAAGCCTTTTTGACCTTAGTGTTTGGAAACTGTCTGGTTGATCTTGTATTTTCACACACCTTCCTTGCTTCAAGCCTTGCTTCCTTCGGTTCTTGACTCGCTTTTTGTATTTAGGGCAAGCCACTCGATGGAATCATCATCGAAACGACTGGCTTGGCTGACCCTGCTCCAGTGGCCCAGACCTTTTTTGCGGATGATTTCGTGTTGGGCCCAGTCTCGAAGCGCACCAAAAAAGAGATGTTTGGGTCCCTTTAATAAGGCCCCTTATTTACTTTGCATCCTTCTAGCCTCAAATGTAAAAACCAGGCCACAGCGTGGGTTAGTGACTCTGTTTTCTTCTTTTTAACATATACCTTTTTACTGTTCAAAGCCCCGTGCCTTTAACTATGTCATGTTGAGTTTGTTTTAACAGAGAGTACAAAAGTGCTGGTCTTTACAGGACTCTGAAACATTTTTCGCTCTCCCCAGTCACCCTGTGGTTTCAAGTTTCGTCGTTTCCGTGTAGGGCGTTTTTCACTCCATCGCTTTGCAACACAGAGCTCCGGCGGCCTTACAGAGATCATCTTTCTGGTTGGCCCGCCACTTCCAAGACATCACACAGCTCATGACCCGATCTTCGTTGCAGGCATGAGCTTTCTTTGTATGAAGCGTCGATGGGATGTACTTCTTTAGAAGCTTCCATTGCCCATTGAGCATTTGAGTGCCAGAACAGACCAAGAGAGCGGCCAACGATCTGAGTCCAATGTGCAGTCCAGGGTGAAGTCCAACAAAGGAGCACGAGGAAACGAATGTGTACAATGCTGTCCAAGTGCCAAACGTCAACAGTGAGAGGCGGGATCAGAAGAAACAGGTACACGGGCCAAACGCAACAAAGTCACACAAGAAAGAGACAACAAAGACTCAACAGGCAGGCTCATGACCATGTGTCACCCACGAGCCGAAGAGCTGAAGACTCTAGGGTGTCACCACTTCGCAACAGACCATCACAGCTTCATCGTGTCTCAATGCCTTCAGAAATCTTCAGAAATCAAGCTTCAGTCGACTAGTTCACAAACAACGCGCGACGGCCACCCAAAACCCCACGTCAGGCGCACGTGCGTACTCGAACGCTATTAAATTAATGTTATAGGCCACCCACCCACCCACCCACCCACCCACCCATGCTATTTTCTCTGGGGTCGCAAACAACGCCGTTGGCAAAAACAATGAAGACGCTTAGAGGATGATCACCTTGTATTCACACCGCTTCGCGGTCGAAGCCGCCTGCGCGGGTACTTGTGCTCTCGGAGCCGGGATGGAGCGAAGTCAACAGGCCTCAAAGCGTGAGGAGAAGTGTGCCGTGAGGAAAAGACGGTCAACGAAACAACGAGGGGTAGGTGCAAGTAAGAAAGAAATGAACATCTGGGCTAGTTTAGCAGTGCACGATTTCAAAAATGCAGCCTCCCTCCGGCAGCAAAACTGACATCGCGAACGACTTCCTGCGAAGACCGCGCGCACAAACACACGCGAGCGTAACCGACATCATCGATGGCTTGTTGATTTTTCGTCCGTTAAAAGGCGGCTTAAGAACACAGCATTCTAGAGCAAAAGTGAACCTGCCCCAAGCTAAAGCTCAAGCTATGTGCGATCTAGAGCGAAACTGATCTTTTGCCTTCGGTTCTGCATTAAAGTGCTCATGAGCCTGACCGACGAGCAATTGCCACTTGGAGGTTTTTTCACCTGTGCCAATCTGACCGCCCTACACGCTACCAGCCTGTTTTACCCAGGCAATCTTTTCACTCAGGCTTCTTCAGGGCTTGGGGCGATCACTTCAGTACGCGTTTCCCGAGCGTGTTTCCACTTTGTTGGGTTTGTCTATGAGTAGCTCACAGCGAGCGTAGGAGGCTTATGCCAAACGTCAGATAAGACTTGCTGAATTATTGAGCCTGGGTCTGGGTCAAGCTTTTTCAAAACCCACTGGGGTCTGTCGGAGCCTTATATGCACGCACAGCATGCGCCTACAAAACCAGGCTAGCTGTCCCTAGGTCCTTTAATGAGGTTCGGCTTGATTTTTGCCGCCCCCTCCATTTGGTTTCCCTTTTCATTTCTTTTCCCTCTGTCTTTTCATGTCCTTTCTGTCTTCATGTCTTGTCATCTCATCCCTTTCTTTCTTTTGCGCGCGCACTGGTCTGGCCCTTAAGCCTTAGCGTGCACGTGCTCGTACACTGAACCCAGGTCTGAGGTCGCCCAGGTTGTTGTAGTGAGGTTTGGCTCATCTGGTTGTTCCTGGTCACTTGGCTCCTTCTCATCGCAACCACTTACATCTTCGCGAGCGCGCGCTTACACTTGACCCCTAGTCCCCGCTTTTGTGCTCCTCCACGGGGTGCGCCTTTGGAGTCACAAGGTTCCTTTTGGAGAGTTTTCTTTTCCAGGAGGGGGCAGCAGCCCACCCATGAGTCTACTGCCAACGAAGCTGCTCATGAGTTGGGAGGATATCGGAGCTGATCACTCCGACGTACCTGCTTGGTTGTGGCGTTTACAAGCTTTTACTGTACTCGACTTTTCCGGTAAAGTGCTAGTGAGTTCTGCAGATGTGCGCGCACGCCGTCATTTCGACCTGTTCGTCGTATCGTGGAGTTGGAACTTGGCCTTTAACTTCAGGTGCTCAGGCCTCCTTGATTCTAGTTTCTTAGGTTGCCGTGTGGCGAGCGGCGTTTGAGTCAGTACGCATTTCTATAAGTGTGTGTGTGAGCCCTATGTAATCACAGGGAACCAGTTGGTTCTAATAGAGGGGAGCGGTGGCCATTCTTGAAGTCACCGCTCAATGAAGACGCTTCAAGATTGCTGTGATATGCAATCTGGACGCAGATTGCGCGTGCTGCGAAAAGATGATCACCTGCGTGTGTAGCTAGAACAAAACTTCTCTTTTTGGCTTTGGTTCTGCGTATTAAAGTGCTCATGAGCCTGACCGACGAGCAATGGCCGCTTGGAGGTTTTTCAGCTGTTGAATTTTCAAGCTTTCGCGATCTCGTCTGGCGTTTGGCACGCCCAGTGTAGCCGTAGCAGACAGTACAGGCGCTCCTTGGCAGTGCCAACGCATGAGAGCACTTGTGGATAAGGGATGTGAACATGTTCGCTTCACGCGTCTGTCGAAGCTTCGGGTGATCTCTGATCTCATTAAAGCTCGATGGGCTGACCACGCCAATGTTCAAAAAAGGGCAGCTGAGAGCTTGTACGCTGGCCGGACTGTGAAACGATTGCGCTTCATTGTCTCATCAAGGGGACCCAAACACATTCGTTTTACCCATCTGGCTGCCTTTCAAAGGGCTTTGCAGCTTTAACCCCCTGCGCGTCGCCCAGGTGAGTGCCAATATGGTGTTGGATGGAATTCTTACTGTGGTGGACGCAAAACATATCGTGGGTCAGCTGCAGGAGGAGAGAACCCACGTGCTGAAGCAACCTCGCCAAGATGTGCCATTCTGTGCCTAGTTGTCCCTTTAAGCTTGTCTGTCATAGGAGAAACCGCAAGGTGCAGTCAATGAAGCTGTCGAGCAGGCTCTTGGATTGACCAAACTTGGGACTGGGGTCCACTGGCTTGACTTTTGAAGATGTGTTGTGATTTGGCCGCGTTTCTGGTCTCAGATAGCCTTTGCCGACCGAATTTTGCTCAACAAGCAAGCCCCTCAGTCAACGGATGGACGTGTTTTCATTTATCATTTTTTGTCTCAATCTGTCATGCCGATCTCGTGTGTTGAAACTTTTCAGGACAGATTTGGTCGGGGAGGCTGACTTGCTCAAGGTGGAGGCCGAAATTCGCCACATCAACAAGACGGCCGCAATCCGGAAGAGCTTTGGCAGCCTCAGATTAAAGATTGGTGACATGTTTTTTTTCTTGGGAACCGTCGCTGGAACTTCCACCTGCAGTGGAGTATACGCCAGGCAGAATCGCGGAGGAAATTGAATTAAATTTGTATCAAATGTAAATTGACAGTGAACTACTACGCAAGTGCGAGGACACAAAATTCCCGTGTGGACATGGACTTCATTTTGGGCATCAAGGCATCGATTGCAAGGGAACCACTGTGTCCAAGTGCCCGGACTCCAGTGTTTTGCTTCATTGGACTTTTGGATTGTGTTGAGCTAACTGTTTCTTCATTGCTTACCCAGTTCAGGCCTTCTCACTGGAAAAGATCCTGATGCAGATCAGTCAAAATTTGGAAGAGGAGCAAGACCAGACTCAATCTGACCGACCTTAGAGTTTCTTCACCGGTTTCGTTTCAGCTTTTCACCAAGGAGTTGACCGTCAGTTTCTCAAATCGCTTGTTCCGTGTTTATATGTCTGCAGGTATGCCCAAGTCCAGGCTGCCGCTTTTGCTGTGAGTATCATTCCTTGCGTTCAGCCTCCTTGCGATTTGTCTCCCAATCTCTTCAGCCCTAGGTCGTCCTTCTGCCTCTTCTCGTCAGGTGTTTTTTGTGTTTGCAAGTTGGTTGTTCTGTCAGAAATTTCTATCATGGCTGCCTTTGGTTTGTTTCCCCTTCCAGCTGGCTGGCACCAGGTGGCAGACGGTGTCATTTGCGTTTTAGGAAATTTTTTGGGCTCGACCCACAGCGACCAACGCGTGGATTCTGCCACAGAAGCCGATTGCGCTCAGCCACATGTGCCCCATTATGCCATTGCCAGGAAGGCGACAGTAGGAACACGGGACGGACGCGCGTCTCTTGAAAACCAATAGTGCGTTTAGCTTGATGTTTTTGAACGCCTTCATGACTTTTATGGGTTTGGGTTGGCAGCTTATCCAAGTGGATGTGGAGACAGCCTAGGCAGGGTGGACACCATCTCGTTGAATTCCTTTCAATATGTTCGAAGCGTGGTTGAATTGGTTTGAGGAGCTGGTAACTGTTTTCTCCTCGGACCTGGGATCTTCTTTGTGCATGCTTTGAAGAAGTCGCCTTCAATGCTAGGAGCTAGTTGCTGAGCATGGTTCGGGCTTTGTCCTCGGTTGTGTGTGTGGTAGCGTATGGTCAATATGTATTCATGTTGAGGCCACGGCGACCACGGCGGCCACGGCGGCCACGGCCATGAAGGACATGCAGCTTGGCTCAGTTCGGTTTTCGATTTGTTTGCCTTCGTGCTTGTTTTTCCATCAGGATTTCCTCTCAGATATTCCGATAATTACAACGCCTTTTCCCTTGTGCCATAGCTGGACAACTGCATTGATTGGCCCTTATCGCACTGCTTTCAGGCTCATAGCCACAGTCATGATGAGGACTGCGAGGAGTGGCAAGTCTTGAAGCGATGCGAATTACAAACCTACCGGAGTGTATCGAAATGTGCGAAATAATTCTAGCTCTCCATTCGCTACTAGGAACAAGTGCATCGCTTCTAGTAACAAGTGCCTTACTAGTAGTAACAAGAAGCTATTAGAAACAAGCTCTCTCACAGGAGTGTGGCCATTCCACACACCGTCGCCATGACTACAGGGTGGTGATCTCGGCCCCTGGACCTTGAGCATTTCCAGCATCGCAGCATCGCCCAGTTGCCAAGGTCAGCTCAGTGGGAATCCAGCGGGACCGAGAAGTGCAGAAGGATAAGCAACAGACTCAGACCGTCTGAGACCCTTTAGCCATATGAAAATAGATCCAAAGGATGTGGATTCACAACGCCAAATTACAGTGGAGAAGCGAGAAGGGCATTGTAACAGAATGAAACAGGTCCTTTGCACACAACCAGACAAACATTTACGCAGGCAACGAAGCGTGTTTGACTACTACACATGTTGAGTCAGTTGGTCAAACATGGTCAAAGATGTTTTTTGGTCAAGGAGTCAGCCACCCACGCATTTTGCAAAACAGTTGTTGTGTTCAAGAGTTTAGCACGAAGCCGATTCCAAGCTACCGAAGTATCTAAAGTGCGCTTGAGCAAGTTGTATTTGGTCAAAACGTAGCGCTTACGTCCTGCCGGTCCACGAGACAAAGACTCAATGCGCGCGCCTTTACCAATAAAAGCTTTTTGCCCGAAACACACAGTATTGATAAGACTTTGATTCTCAATGTGAAGGGCTTTCACTTTGTGGATGCGGCGCATGATGCCTGGCACGGATACAACTGTTGAGAATAAAGGCTCTTCATCACTGCTGTGGGAAGCACAGTGTGTACCCATCGCAAGCTGTAGAAAGAGTCTCGAGGAGTCGCGTTGACAAGAGTCCCGTTTTGCTAGCTTGTGGATCTCTTTTCAGGTCTGGATCTCTTTTGCAGTGGTCTGTACTTTCATACTTGTTTCAGGCTTGACACCTTCATCAGCTGGTTGGTGCAGAACAAAGGGCCTGACCTTTACCGTTCAAAAGGAGCAGGGGAGCCTGCATTGCCTGCTGGTTTCACCTGGAGATACTGTATATGACTTGTTTTGCGGGCCGACATCACTAGCTCTCATTCAATAAACTGGCTTCATTTTGGAACTAATGCGTGATTGTTGCGCAATTTGAGTTCACCCATGAGCCTTGTCGCTGAGGTCTTGGCTGTGAATGGCATGTCCCACAAGTTTGTGTTCCATGCGGTGCACATGCAGCACCTTAGCAAGTAGGGGCATTTGTGGCATCAACTGTTTAAGAAAATGAATCCACCCTGTTGGTTTTGATCTATTCAATCTTATCATGAAGGGCAGGCTTGCTTGAATTCCCGCTTTACTCTGCACATTGTGGCTCTGCGCAATACTGTGTTATAAGTTATAAGTTACAGTATGTCCTCTTTACATCTTTGGTTATTATTTGTCCTTCATATTTGTGCACTTGCAGGATGATAATGTGGGCATGGCACGCTATCGGAGGTTCAGTTCTTCACTGTACCAGAATGCATACATATGCATATATATATATATATTTATGAGGCTTACGCCTGACAGCCGGGCGCCGGCCTTATGTGCAGGGCTGGGTCCTCTCTCTCTCTCTCTCTCTCTGTCTCTCTGTCTCTCTCCCCCTCTCTCTCTCTCTCTTTGAGACTTGGTGGGGCCTATATTGAGCAAAGTTAAGCTATCTGGTGCGCATCTTGGCCCTAGGTTGGGCCAAGTTGAGCCCATGTGGTCTGTGTTGGGCCTAGGTCGGCCTATGTTAGGCCTATGTTGGCCTATGTTGGCCTAGGTTGGGCCTATGTTGGGCCTATGTTGGCGTATGTTGGCTCCATGTTGGCCTATGTTGGCTTTATGTTGAGCCATCTTGGAGGCTATGGTGGGCATATGTTGGGGATATGTTGGGCTATCTTGGGCCTATGTTGGGGATATGTTAAGCAACTTATGTGCTCAACACACACGAAATGTCGATTAAGCTTGTCCGCGAGGCACGCAACCGACACCACCGGCGCCCTGTTAGGCGAAAGTCGTGGCCGCCGAAGGCAACGAAACACTGTAAAAAACGATGTTTTTGAACATCCTGCGCAAAAAGCCTGGTAGATACATATAAATCTGTCGACCGGATTCGGGCGGGGGTCGGCCGGGGGTCGGGCGGGGGTTTACCGGGGGTCCAACAAAAGGGTCGGCGGCAGAGGCGGCGAGCGTATATCCAGCCAGGGGCCCTGGAGGCCCCAAGGCCGTGTCCTTGCCGTAGGTAGGAGAGAGGGGGGTGCCGCCCCCGCCGCCGACCTACCGAAGCTACCGCGTTTTACAGTGTTTTTGGCTTGTCCCATTTTTCGGCTCTTGCGGCGCAAGATGGGTCAACATGGCCCAACATAGGCCCAAATAATGCTGGAAATGCGTGCCGCACCGGGGTGCTTCGTCTGCGTCGTGGGCGGATGCTGGGCTAACATGGGCCACATAGCCCCAACATGGGCCAACATAGCCCCCAAGATGGGCCAACATGGCCCCAAGATGCGCCAAGATGGGCGTACATAGCCCCCAAGATGGGCCAACATAGCCCCAACATAGCGACAAGATGGGCTAGCATAGCTCTCAAGATGCCCAGATAGCCCCCAAGATACGCCAACATTGACCAAGCTGGGCCAAGAAAGCAACAACAACAACAACCACCACAACAACAGCAACAACAACAACAACAACAACAACAACAACAAGGTACAAACAAAAACTGCAACCCCGTTACACCACATCTTCTTTCTTTTTCTCTACAAGGGAACAAGGTACAAACAAAAACTGCAACCCCGTTACACCACATCTTCTTTCTTTTTCTCTACAAGGAGGTAGAAACAAATTCTGGGACCCCGTCGTTGTTTTTTGAGCCCCCCCAAAACAACCAGACAACAAGCGCTCTACTACTACTACTACTACCGCTACTACTACTACTACTACTACTACTACTACTACTACACGATGTGGACAGTGCGCGGGGCGTGTGTGGAGGCGGAGGGGATGGAAACCCGGTTCTCAATCTATGCACTGAAAATCAGTCTTTTCTTGGAGACTCCTGGAAGTTGGTGGATTCCAATGGAACAATATGGTCGATTTAAACGCCTTCTTAGGGTCTATGAAACTCGTCTGAGGGTCATGCTACTGGTGATGCTTTTTGTAACTGGTTAAGTGAACCCTGCAAAACTTCTACTTAGACCTCTACCACATCCTAGAAACAAAAACTGCGACCCCGTGGTTGTTTTTTGGACCCCCCCTTCCAAAAGATGTTGTTGTCTCTACCCCCTCCTAGAAACAAAATCTGCAACCCCGTTGTTGTTTTTTGACCCCCCCCCCAAACAACACAACAAAAAACAAGAAGCAGACCAACCAAGACTTGAGTACCACAACAACAAGAAGTCCAGCTACTAACATCTCTCCAAACCTTCGCCCCTATCCCTAACAGAATCCCATTGAAATCCCTGACTTGCAACTTATGACAACTATGTTGGGCTGCTGTTTTTGTCTCTACCAACAACAACAACAACAACAAGGTACAAACAAAAACTGCAACCCCGTTACACCACATCTTCTTTCTTTTTCTCTACAAGGGGGTAGAAACAAATTCTGCAACCCCGTCGTTGTTTTTTGACCCCCCCCAAAACAACCAGACAACAAGCACTTTACTGCTTCTACTACTAGTGGTACTAGTGCTACTACCACTAGTGGTAGACACCCCCCACCCGGGACGTCTGGACAGTGCGCGGGGCGTGTGCGGAGGCGGAGGGGGTGGAAACCCGGTTCTCAATCTATGCACTGAAAATCAATCTTTTCTAGGAGACTCCTGGAAGTTTTTGGATTCCAATGGAACAATATGGTCGATTTAATCGCCTTCTTAGGGTCTATGAAACTCCTCTGAGGGTCATGCTACTGGTGATGCTTATTGTAACTGGTTAAGTAAACCCTGTAAAACTTCTACTTAGAACCTCTACCACATCCTAGAAACAAAAGCTGCAACCCCGTGGTTGCTTTTTGGACACCCCCCTTTCAAAAGATGTTGTTGTCTCTACCCCCTCCTAGAAACAAAATCTGCAACCCCGTTGTTGTTTTTTGACCCCCCCCAAAACAACACAACAAAAAACAAGAAGCAGGCCAACCAAGACTTGAGTACCACAACAACAAGAAGTCCAGCTACTAACATCTCTCCAAACCTTCGCCCCTATCCCTAACAGAATCCCATTGAAATCCCTGACTTGCAACATGTGACAACTATGTTGGGCGGCTGTTTTTGTCTCTATACCAACAACAACAACCACAACAGCGCAGCTTCTGCCAACAACCCCGTGCCCGCCCACCGACCAGTGCCTCACCTGTCCGCGCCGCGCGACCGCCGTCCCGCCCGCTGGCCGTTGCCAGACCCCCATCCTCCGCCGCGGCGACCCCCCCTGCGTCCCCCCGCTGCCCCTAGCCCGCGCGCCCTTTTTCCCTGCCCCCTTCCCTTTGCTTGGGCCCCTGGCCGGCTGTCGGGCGTAAGCCCTTAAATAACCTTCGTTACCAACCGAAGGCCTCCGGCAAGGGAACGTGCGCGTGGCCGGCGCCCGGATTTATGAGGCTTACGCCTGACAGCCGGGCGCCGGCCAATTAGGGTTAGGGTTTGTGCAAGGCTGGGTCCTCTCTCTCTCTCTCTCTCTCTCTCTGTCTCTGTCTCTGTCTCCCTCTCTCGTCTCTCGTCTCTCGTCTCTCGTCTCTTCTCGTCTCTCGTCTCTTGTCTCTGTCTCCGTCTCGGTCGGTCTCTGTCTCTGTCTTCTCTGTCTCTCTCTTCTCTGTCTCTGTCTTCTCTGTCTCTGTCTTCTCTCTCTCTCTCTCTCTGTCTTCTCTCTCTCTCTCTGTCTTCTCTCTCTCTCTGTCTTCTCTCTCTCTCTCTCTCTCTTCTCTCCCTCTCTCTCTCTCTCTTTTTGAGACTGTGTGGGACCTATGTTGCCACATCTTGAGGCAATCTTGGCCCATCTAGGGGCTATGTTTCCCATATCTGGGACCTAGGTCGGGCCATCTAGGACTATGTTGGGTCCTCTTGAGGGCCTCTGTCAGATCATCTTGGAGCACATGTTCCGCCTTTGCTGTTGCCGCGTGCCCAACACCCACGAAATGTCGATTAAGCCTGTCCGCGCGGCACGCGTAACCGACGCCACGGGCGCCCTGTTAGGCGAAAGTCGTGGACGCCGCCGAAGGCCACAAAACACTGTAAAAACCGATGTTTTTGAACATCCTGCGCAAAAAACCTGGTAGATACATATACGTCCGTCGACCGGATTCGGGCGGGGGTCGACCGGGGGTCGACCGGGGGTATCCCCGCCGTCCTTCAGGGTCGGCGGCAGGGGCGGCGAGCGTATATAACCTTCGGTTACCAACCGAAGGCCTCCGGCAAGGGAACGTGCGCGTGGCCGGCGCCCGGATTATACGAGGCTTACGCCTGACAGCCGGGCGCCGGCCCATTTGGTTTGGGTCCGTGCAGGGCCGGGTCCTCTCTCTCTCTCTCTCACTCTCACACTCTCTCTATCCCTCTCTCTCTCTCTATCCCCCTCTCTCTCTCTCTGTCTTTTTCTGTGTCTGTGTCTGTGTCTGTCTGTCTGTCTGTCTCTCTGTCTCTCTCGGTGTCGCGGTCTTGCTTTGTCCCTCTCCCGCGCTATGTCTGTTGCCCTCGCTTTCCGTATCCCTCTCCCTGGCGCTGTATCTGCTTATTCTCTCTTTGTCCGTTTCGCTGTTTCTTTCCCTCCCTCTCTCTCGCTCTGTCTGTCTGTCTGTCTGTCTGTCTGTCCGTCCGTCGGTCCGTCGGTCCGTCGGTCCGTCTCTCTCTCTCTCTCTCTGCCACATCTTGAGGCAATCTCGGCCCATCTTGGGGCTATGTTTCCCATATCTGGGACCTATGCCTATGTTGGGTCATCTTGGGGGCCTCTATCAGGTCATCTTGGAGGACACTTTCTGCCATTGATGTTGGAGCGCGCCCGACACCCACGAAATATCGATTAATCCTGTCCACGCGGGACGCATAACCGACACCGCCGGCGCCCTGTTAGGCGAGAGTCGTGGCCGCCGAAGGCCGCGAAACACTTTAAAAAATGATGTTGTTGAACATCCTGCGCAAGATACATATAAATCTGTCGACCGGATTCGGGCGGGGGTCGGGCGGAGGTCGACCGGGGGTCGGGCGGGGGTATACCGGGGGTCCAACAAAAGG